GGAGAGGATCTTAATAAGCATCAACTGAGCGTAATCTCCTATAATTGCGCAGTTGTTCCTGCCGCCGAGTAGCCCTTCAACGGCGTGCATCCCAAAATAACTCACAAGTGTTTTCCTGATCATTCCCTCTGATCCAAGGCTCCAGCGACACCTGGTGGCCAACCAGTCTCTCCTCGCCCTTCTCGGAGTCGGCACCCTGTCCAGGGTCCTCCACCTCCTCCACGGCCGACTCATAACACCCCTCGCTGTTGGAGTCTGGCGGCAGCTCCAATGGCACCTGCCGGGCCACAACACCTCGGTATCTGCACCTCTTTCTGCTGAATGGTTGGGACCCCATAAAGACCCCATGAAGAGTCATTGCACTAGCCCGGGGCCTTGATTCATAAAAGGCTCCACCAAGAGCCATTGTGCTAGCTCAGTATTGTGGCCTGTGGGAGAGGCACATCTGGATTCCATTGACTTCTTTTTCTTACTGTTTTAGTGGGTTCGCCTAGAAGTCCTGTTAGCAAGACAACTCTGACTCTCATCAGCATCACCAGCTGTGCCATTGGTCTGGTCTGTGCTTCTCATGTGAGTTGCCCACTTGTGGTCAAGATAACACTTCATGTACCGGAGCATCTTATTGCTGATGGTAAGGCACTCTTCTAGTTCTCTTGTCACTTCTATTGTCAGATCAGTATTAGGTGTAACATGAATGTTAATGTTTGTTACTAGAGCATACTGTGAAACTTTGACATATATTTGCACATTGGTCAGGTAAAAAAGAACTATTTTTGACTATCTTTCTCATTGGCTTTTGCCTACAGCATGTAACAACAGTGTAACATCTTCATTAGCTTTCATTAACCATGCATCTTTCAGATTTTCTGGGATTGCAGTTTCCAGGATTTCTACTTTTAACTCAAACTGAAAATTCTGCATGTTGCAATCCTGACACATCTGGAAAGGACCAAATTGGAGAAAGCTAACATCCTCCAAACCTATTGGCTATTTATCCTTTCCCATTAGTTGTAGAGACCTACGTGAATATAGTCATGAATAAATCCATAAAGAATAGATTAGAATTTCAAATGGCCATCCTGTATTTGTTTATTGCATTTCCCTGCCTCCTGACAGGGTGAATTCTATTCTAATTAGTACAAATCCCAAAACATCTTATAAAGATCAGTAGCATGGCTGCATCTACTCTCAAACATACAATTTAATAAGCACACTATTCCAAGAAAAAGAATGGGAGAGAAGGAAGATTTCTACATAAAGTTGTACAGAAATATTCATACTCAAAGCCTGGCTAGAGTAGAAATGGTACGTTCCCTGTTCTATTCATGTTGCCTCCAGAAAACTATATGAAATATGTATCTGGGGAGGCTTCATTTGCAATGAAGGTTATGGTTACCTGAAATTGAAATTTAATAAATTTGTATGCAGCCCAATCCTGGGTGGCTTACAGAGACAAGATAAAAAGTTAAAAATTAGGAATAAAAAGATAC